GAATGGTGACATGGGCGCAGGTTTCAGCAGCTGGGGAGGGGATAAGACCTATCTGTGTGACATACGAGTAGACTGCTGGGCAGCAGGAGAACTGTTTGGGTTGCCAAGATGACGGTACCCTAGCGATGTGTTGGAATGGGCGTTATGTGGCCTGTTGGCACACTGTCAAATTCTTTCAGGGTGACATGCATGCGTATTAGCACTTATCACATTCAGCAAAGCAACGCAATGCGCTGGTGCCTGACCGGTAAGCCAATTGCCACGTCGTGCTTGGCCAAAAAACCCTGCGTTGCTGTGCAACAGATTTCCCAACGCCATGTTCCTTACAACTGGCGTCAGGGTGCATGGAATTTTGCGGGCAAGGAAAGTGCGGCCAGGGTCCAAGTACACATGCTACAGCCAGTGTGTTCTACCCTACATCAATTGTACACGCTCATCTGGACAAGGTTAATACAGGATTTGCGTCTTTCCCACCAGTGCAGCAAGTGCGCCGCAAATGCAAATTGCGCGTTGGAATCGAAACATGCTGTGTCTAACAACAGATTTGCAGAGCGACCAGTACACCATGGTACATCACGGTACAATATCTGCCGCATCGACAACATTCACCGCCCACTGCCTCAAGCATTGCCGCCAATGGCACAATTATCATCACCATCATCATCATTATCGTCATTATTTACAATGGCACAATCACCTCGCATTGTTTCATCTGCAGTGGGCGTACACGTCAGCCACACATTTCCTGGTGGGCTTGGCGGCTGTGCAAGTCCACGAGGCGGCGGCGCGACTGGGTGGGTCACCCACCGTGAGTGAACAACGGCGCAGCGAAGTCGTGCGCGGTCGCGTGCACAGTTCCTGCAAGCGCGTCATCGACTGTCCGTGGCACTGGGCGCGGTGACGTTGGCGTCGCCCCGGTGCCAGTCGGAGGCGTCTAGAAGCGGATGTCTCCGCAGACATCCGGGTACATCCAAGGGGAGAAGAGACGACGCGCAACGACGCACAGAAACCCGTAGGGATCACAACGGCAGTCACCTCAACACCAAACGGAAACGCGAGCGCACGCTTTCGTTGCATTGCACGGGACTGAGTGCGCCGGGGCAAGCCCTGGGCGCCAACATTGGCCAGATACGTGCCGCACAGGACCTGCCAAGCCACCGCAACTTTTGCGGAGTGCCGCGCTTGCACGGATGTGCCCGACCGAGTCACCCCAGAGCAACGGCGGCCCCTCAGGAAACCCAGATATAGTGGATTGGGGAGCAATGCAACGGGACGAGGAGCAGCGGTAGAACATCCATGTTACCTGCGGCTTGCGGATTGCCAGGAAACGATGCTGCTGTGCCCTTCCTCTGCTTCCCAGACAGGGTGGCGGCAAGCGCGGAAACGACGGCACAGCAATAGGGACGCAGTTGGCGGGAGAGCGGAGCATATCATCCTTCGCCAGATACGCAACGATGTGTTGCATTAGTGATGGTGGTTGGAGGGACCGATGAAAGGCAACCGGAACGCCGCCGCTTCTGCATTGATGCGTTGGATATGGGTACCGGTGCGATATTAATATTATTGACATATTTCGTTATGCAAACATGGCGTCTATCCTCGCATTTGATACTGTCCGCTCCCCATCAATACAAAATTTGTCCCTACTCCGATGTAAGTGATTGGCACGTGGACCTGGCACATGTGAAGCGGCCTCCAATTGATCTACTCGGATTCTGAATAAAGCCTTTTGAAACATTGGATGGAGCAACGCTCGCCCGCCCAGCGAGTTTGCAAGGTTTTGTTATCTCGACTTGTGGAATTGTCACTTACCGCGTGGATTGTGTGGATAAACATTTCTGGCAATGAAATGGATACCATTCACTCAACGAGGCTTCATGACAGTTTAGGGTTCCTACGCACAGATATTGCAACATTGACTTGCGGGCGCTTTGGTCATACCGAATTTGTGTGAATCTTTGCGGTTTGTAAACAAGATGCCAGCTTTTGGATTGTGGCAATATCTTGGATTGACTAGGAGCAAATTCTGGAAACTATTTTCACTTGGGCAAAATTAGGAGCTGATGGCTGTCTACTCTTTCTTGACATGTAAGATTTCTAATTGCGTTGGTGAAACATGGTGTTACAAGGTTTGCTGCGTTTCGATTCCACTTTCAATATTGTGCTCGACACCTTTCCCGAAATTTGCTTCATTCAATCAGGCTGCTGTGCATCCAAAAATCTGGTAGGCGTTGATGCAACATTGACAGGCCATTGCATAAACGCCGCTCTACAGACAAGAGCTCTGAAGGTTAACGTTGATCCAAGGGCCTGTCAATGGTGCATCAAAGCCTGCGAAATTTCTGAGTGCATCTCCGAGCTGATAAATTCATCGTTGATGCAGCATTTCTGGAAACTGCATGTTTTGGATGTTGCATTAAGATGCCTTGTTGGAGGGTTGGTAAACGCCGACGCCAAGAGCCATTGTTTCAAGGGCAGCTCACCAGCATCGGGAGCCATTTTTTCAATGGCGCCCTTGCATCAACCCTCATCAACAGTGCATCAACGCCTGCCGAATTTCCAGATGTGTATGCAGTAAAACAGTGTTATCTACTCCGTTGATTGTGGGGTTAAGACCAACGATTTCAATGGCCGGGACGAATACAAGGCACGCAAGCATAAACAATATATCATAAATATATCCAAATAAGAACTGGTGCACAACATAATGCCTAACAGATTCCCCTTGGACATAGCCGAATGTTGTGATCAACTGCAAACGCACAACGCAGGTCTACATGGTTGCAAAGCTGCAGGCCGCCCAAATTCCTGAATCTACGATTCCAAAATACTTTTCATAATTTTGAATTCATAGTTTTTTAATTTCATAATTTCCCCAAATTATTATTCCAAATTATCGTTTGTGGGAAAGCTACCTGGCGATTCTTTGATGTAGCTTGGGTTTTGCCCAACGTATTTGCCTCTTCACACGGTTGCCACAGGTGGTAAGAGGAAAAGCGATGAAGTCAATGTGATTCAGGGTCATTGCACCTCAGGCTTGCCTGTTGTGCATGGACTCCAGATGAATGCCAACACGAACCAAAGTGGAACCGCGGAAAGTAGTCTAGAGGCAACAACTTTGAGCAAGCACACATGACGAACAGATTCTGCACGGAGTCCAATGTACAATGTATAACACCATGTGCCATGCATCCCCAAAGTGCACTTTCCTTTGCAACGCTCCGGCTGCAATCACGCGGACAAAGGCGACGTGCATGAGCAACTTAATTTAAATGCAAATTTGCGCAACACCCACTAGTACGAGTGCAGTGGGTTCGCGAAGTTGAGCCGACCATCCAGCTACTCGCGAGCACGGCGCGATGCAGTGGCTATCCATTCCATATGATAAGGCTCGTTGGGACCGTGGATGGGGAGTTGCCAAGGAATGCGCGGACGCGATGAGCCAGGCGTGAGCACAGATGACGTACCTTCTTCGTCCATTTGGGATGTGGGCCAAGCAAACAGAAGACCCTTTCACACGCTGCTCATAATTCAGTCATTGCGACATGGTGCGCATTTTCCAATTGCGTTTTGTACATACCATACGTCCGACGGACGGCCGTCAGGATTGTGCTGCTGTCGTGCCAGTCTGTCAGTTGATGATGGTGATACCACACAAAACACATATAGCCAACGCTATTGCTGGAAAGTATGGCGCACAACTCGCTACTTTACTCTGCTTAGTTGACCATTTCTTCCCTGAAACGGCCTTAGCCATTCTTCCCCTTGGGCGTATCACTTGGGCTCTGGTTGTGCACAACCCGAGGGAATGAGCTCTAGGTCCAGGCCCCGCCCAGCGTGACGTCGGCTGACGCAAACATATTATTTAGGCGGGTGACGGCACCCCGTTCGCTGCGCCGAGCATCTAATTGTGCAGTATAGGTGCGAGTGTACTGTAGCATTCCTGACCACAGAGGTCGCATATGTTGAACACAAGTATTCCACCGTATCCTTAACAAGAGTCGCTAACTGTACATGAGAAACGCCGCAATTTGGCTGTGCAATTGCACGTATTACATTTTCAAACTGCAGCGATTACAGGAAACTGCCCAGTCAAGCTTGTCATGTACAAGGGACGTCCTTGGGCTCTAGAACGTCAATTGCCCTCTTGGGGATCCCAAAGTGGGAAGGGCAGGCATGGACGGGCATTGGACCGCCAGGCCAAGATTGCCGCTCACAGAGCGCAGCAAAGTCGCCAACATCTCCCCACCCTCAGATGTTCTCGCAATGAAGTCGACTGTCGTCATCCTACCATAGGGCAGAGGCATTAGAATCCACAACACATGGAGAGCATTGCAACGAAGTCTTGCTGTTCACAGGATTGTAAGTACAGACACGGCCACGAATCACCAATTCACAGAAAGTTGGTGGTTGAGCTCGTGCCAGCCATCATCTGGTGGCCTAATTGTACACTCCAGCCCTCACATCTCATCTCTTTGTGTAAACTAACAGGGCTGCTGACATAAATTGTGCCCGGATGGAACACTGCTGTCCTCGATAAGAAGGCAGGCGAATCTAAGAAACAGGCCACTTGGGGCAGGTACATGATCCCGCATGTGCCATGCCAACAGATTGAGCATGACAGAAGGTATGCCTCAAGATGTGCCTCAATCCAGCGATTCTGTCCTGAAAGAAAGCTATTTTGGTGCCAGACTTCCAAACCCACCCTATCCACACTGGGCTCAGTTTTTCATACCTCTGATCATTGCTCTGTGCACTGACTGGTTTTCTGCTGACAAATGCCCTACACACCATCCCTTGAAGCTCAAAGTAATGTACCAAATACCTTTCTCAATGCAGAACAGCAACTTTTGATACTCAACTGTTCTCCTTGTGAACCAACACTTCCTATCAAGATAAAATCTAGCCTATCCATCCACCTATCCACCTATCCACTTCACTCCATCTTCAGTCCCATACCAAGTCACCTTGCTTCCATCCCTGCTTGTCCTTAGTTTCCATCATCGAAAGAAGAATCCTGGACTTTCAAGCTTACGCGAGGGTAGGAATCTCCTGTTATTCTTCACTTTCACAAGACATGTGCCCTCCTGCTCTGTCATTAGATCGTACAGTTCAGGCCAAGCATCCCTTCCCCAAGACTCTGCTGGCCCCTGCACACTGGAGTGGCGCCACAGCCTTGAGAGTGGTCTTCCGCTGCAGTCCTGTTTCTTTTCAATCATCCGCGTCATGAACAAAGATATGTGCGAAGCCATCACGGCCTCAGTCACCAGGAACCATCCTCGCTTGAAGACTGGCTTGCCACTGTGCCAACAATTTTGCACTGCCCACTTGAACATGTCCTCTGCTCGATCTGGAGAGACAAAGCGATGTCGCTCCTTGGGAACAGCCAGATATGTGTAAGTGTCAACTACAGTAAAGCCAAGTTCACAGGTGGTGATGCCAAAGATTATTGCAGCCATCCCACACTGTCCTTTGTAGTTGGTGGAAAATTCCCACCTGTCGTCATGATGGTCAATTGTTTCCACAGAGAAGGCATGTTCAACTTCCTCCTCTGGTACTGTGCGCTTTAGCACAGCTTTTAGCTCCTCAACAGACATGACCCGTGTCTTTTCATGGCCGCCTACCCACACGTCCCCCAATTGCATCTCAAACTGGCAGGCATTAGTGCACAGATGGCTACGCTTCTGCTTCCAAACAATTTTAGATATTTTCTTGAATCCGTGGAGTCGTGGTTTTCCACAAAAATGAGAAGATACTGGTGTGTCCTGCACAGCAATGCCACACTTCAGCTACATTTGTTTCTCACGTTTTCTCTACACTTGATGCAGTTGTTATCTGGTACTGGTGTCTTTTTATAGGCACCCACAAATTGAGCAAAGAGGCGACGGATAACAACACTGGGCTGGGGGCACTGACATGGTTCGAGCCTGATCCAACGTGCAGGCAGAGAGAAAGTTATGAAATTCACCCCAAGGAAAAGAAGTGGCGAACACCCCAGGAATGGCACCATGGGGTGGAAGCCACGATGCAGCACGCCAATCCCCGATATTCAGTGCTGTCTCTTTCACAGATTGCAAATCTCAGCCATGACCACCCCTGCAAATCGGTCTGTGAGTCCGGTACCAGCGACCTGTCCCTCTTTCTCTTCCGAATCGCTGGCCTCTGGCCGCGCCCACTTGCCAATGGCACGATTACCTGTCACCAGTTGTCATGGCAGCCCGTTCATGTCATCTCTGCCGGATCAAAGCACGCGGGGAAGAACACCCTGAACACCCAAGTTCAGTCTTGCCCCTCCGCCCCTTGACTCCCGTCCCCGCACCCACATCGGAGGCTCCACAACATCTTGCACAGCATGGAAAAGAGTCTCGCGTGCACTTGCTTAGAAGGGGGCGCCCTTTGTGACATGTTTCTTTGTCTCTTTGTAACAAATCTTACGCCTCACCCGCAAACGAAACAGAGTCACAGCCGCTGCCCCTCGCGTCTCACCCTTCCTCCGCCCCACAGATGCCAACCCCATTCTGCGGAACGCCGATGCCATGTTCAATCTCAGGCCCTTGGTGCTCGTACCTCCCTCTCATGCCCTTCCGACCGGCCACGGCCGCTCGACAGCTCCACAGCCTCCTTCACCGCTGAGAAGAACAGGCGCAACGCCACGAGGCTCGCCATCATGCGCTCTTTATGATGAGCTGTGTTGAGATGCCCACGGGGGCAGGGTGGGCCTCACCCTGGTGTGCTCCTGATTCACATGGACGAGCAGCGACGGCAAATGGATCGAGAGCCGAAGGGCCCGGCCTACCCAATGCAAATCCGGTCCGTTCACCAGTGTCCTCAATTTAGTTCCTATTGTCTCATCACCTCTTTGCGCGTCCAGCTATGGACAATGCTCGATCACATCTGGTTACAACAACGCTGCCATATTCCGTGTAACAATGCAGGGGTGCGTGACCAGCTCAGCGACTTGGCAACAGTGAAGAATCGGCCGAAAGACACGGTTTCGAACAGTGTAAAAATCGTGTAAAACCGTGTCAAAACATGTGAAAATCATACACACTCACTCAATCTTTACTACACGGTTTGGTCCTATTCTTATAGGATAGAATACACGATAAGTGCACGATTCAACACGATTTCACACGATTTCTACACGGTTTTCCAAACCGTGTATGTTGGCCTGTTTTCGACTAGTGTGATGCAGAACGCCGGGGTTATTTAAAATTGCGTGGAGACATGCAAACAATGCCACCGGCGCTCTTGAACCGAATCTTGATGCTCAATGCAGGAAGGGCGTTGTCCTCCGCTGTCTACCGTACGTTGTTAGGGAGCAACTCAACAGTGTCTACTGGAGTGCATGATTCATGGTAGGGGGGAGGGTACTGCGAGGGAGATGTGGTTGACGAATTGGAATTGGGAACTCCGGCCTGGGGAAGTTGGAATGAAGGCAGCGGTGTCGGTATGCCGATGGTGCCTACGTAGGCATCATGTTGAGGAGCTGGGTAATTTAGATCGAAACTGGGATGACGAGCATTTCCAGGTGCCCTCATTTCCTTAAATTGAAAGGAACTTTTTAGCTACAGAAGAGCTTGCAATTTGAGAGGGAGCATTCAGCAACAGTTCCACTGTTTAGCGCAAAGCAAGAATGTGTGGTTGTTGATTGCGCATCCCAAAGAGACTTGACACGAACACGGGCCACATGTGCTTGTTGGCGCCCAAATGGAGAGAAAGCGCAAACAACTGCTTGATTCATTGTATTGAGTGTTCCGGTTACACTGCCTCGGCAGATATCAAATAGGACGCACCAATTTTCAACAATGACCCCAGAGAATGGCTGACGAAATTCAATTAGGTGCACGTCTGTGCGAGAGAACTAGATTTGTCGCAGAACAGCTGCATCATGCAGAACATGCAAAACTAAACAAACTGGATGTTTCTCTTGAAGCAAAGACATCAAAAGTTGGGAACGCACTCCGTTGATATGGGCGAGCCTTGCCTTCTATCACAAGACTGGGAGGGCTGAGGTTATCCGAGATGTGTTGAGAACGCGGACATGAATATGAAAGCGTTGCACCCCATGCCAAAAGACATACAATGTCAAACAACACTGCCCAATGAGGAACGAGCAGTCTAATGTGCGCATTCGACTCCTCATTCCTCGGCGAGGATTTGACACTCTTTGGGAGAGCGCAGTACATATTCCGAAGTGAACAAATGCAGACGGAGAGTCTAACTTCGCCCAAATAAACAAGGAAGCATTCCCAAAGCGTATAATAAAAGGGCTGTGACATGTTCGAGCCATAGACGACATCTCCGAGAGAGAATAAAATGCCCACACTATTCGCGAACTGGCCGGCCATCGCCACCTTTCTGATGTGAGAGGGGCTTAGGTTCCACAGATGATAGGGAACTCCGAAAAGTGCCAACTTTGTGGTGCGAAGGCCATGGGTGAATGAGAGCTAATCACCCAAATTTTGTCTGACCGCATTCTTTACAGGTGGTCGCGTTGTACTGCATCGCCAGGTTCGGGACAGCAATCATGTAGAAATGTCTCCCACCGTCACTGGCAAAACCAGGCCAGATGACACAGTCCTGACACGGTCTGCTCAGAATCCAACTGTGTACCTTTGGCAAATGTGGTCCCAAAACTACACAGTTAGTACACACATCGACACAGTTTTAACCGTGCATCCTAGGAAACCATGTATTCTACACAGTTGTTTGAGGGTACATGGTTGAAACTATATCAACGTGTGCACTAACTGTGTAATTTTGGGACCACATTTGCCCAAAGTACGCAGTTGGATTTTGAGCAGACCGTGTCAGGACTATGTCATCTGGCCTTTTTCACACCAGTGCCTGTGCTGAGCAGATAAGAGGGAGGGCCGGAGGGATGCGGGAGGGCAAAGCGCTCCTTGGCACATACACACCAGCCACTGCCTACAAGGTGCGAGGATACCCCTTGGTGTAGTCGAGGGCAATTTAAGCAAAGGACTCCAGCCTTGCGCTTCGTCAACCAACAGATGACGAGCCTCAGCTCATTAGCAAGAGAATGTGCCCAAAAATGCCCACGATCAATATCTGGACACCAATTATATTCGTTTATATGGCAAGTGAAACATACCAAAGATCTCTGGTATTTTCCACTTGCCATATAAACGAATGTAATTGTTTGTATATACGCATATACCATATTTACCCGGTATTAGCAGGCGTGTGTTGGAACCCCCAAATAAGCGGTGGATATTAATAGTGGGTCATGTATACTTATGCGGTTTGGACCCCTGATCCCAAAGAGTAGACATTTTCTTGACAAATACGCCGTGAAATGCCCAGAAATGCACAAAAATGGCAATGTTATTGTGGGATGTTGTCAACTTCTTCACGGAAGCTGGCGGCCTTGACTTGAGGCCGCACTAGGCAGGTGGTGGCAGGTGGTAGCGACTGGAAATTGGGGCCAACAGGGGCTCGCTAGAATGCTGGCGAGTTTGCCTCTAGATTGCAGATCTGCAATGCAAAGAACGAGGACTGACACGGGTCTCGACTCGCTGGGGCACCACGTCGCGACGATGGGCTAGACACGTGGCGTACTCCCAGGCTGACGGCGGCTGGGAAGGATGATGGGATCTGTTATTGGGTTTGTGGCCTGGCGGCAGTGCAATGTGTATATTGGGAATGGGTCCTACCTTCGCAGCATTTTGCAGGCAATTTTGCATAGCAGGGTCTCGCAACGGCACCCGTCCCAACCAGCGCCGTCGCTTGGGCATTCCGGGCGCTGGGCCTTGGGGCGCCCTTGGCAGGCGCCAGGTCGGAACCTGCCTTGGCCAGCCGGGGAGTGGTTTAACACAATCCAGAAACTAGGGCGGCTTTGATCTCCCGACTGCTTCTTTGATCGTGCCCTGCGGTGTCGGCCGCTGCCTTGCGATCCTGCGCTAAGAGCACCAACGACGGCTAGTCAACCATACGGCCTTTTGCGGGCCCCCTTCCAAATTCTCCCTTGACAGCATCCACCCTGACTCGATCGTCCACTCGATGTGCAAATCACAAGGAACGCCGTTTGGTCCAGACTAGGCAACGCCATCCCACGCCAACCGCCAACTTCCCTTGCCACCATCCGCACCTTCGCTCGTTTCTGTCTGTTTTGGGGGTGGATACTAACACCGGGTCATGGATACTAACGTGGTTTCGACCCCCAAAGAAGGGGGTGAATATTAATAGGGGTTACCTACTAATGCCGGGTAAATACGGTATGCTTACAGCTGCTTACAGTCCTGAATGTCGACCACAAGATCATCGCGCTGCGCGTTGGCACGGTGGTCTGGATTCATGACTGTTGTGGTAAATTCAATAGACTCAGTGACACCTATGTCCACATAGATCTTGCGTGCACCGTTGAGGACTGTGAGCAGGCAGGCATCATCATGTAGGTACTTGTATTACAAATGAGCAACTACGCATTTCTGTATGTACTACTACATGCGTACTTTCGAAAACGCAAATGCCACTAGCAGAAAATCGGCCAAAGTACACGGTCATGAAATTCGTGTACCGTGTTGTGCGTGTCAAAATGGAGTAAAAATCGTGTGAACATCATGTACCGATCGTGTAAGTATGTATTTGCCGCAGGTACACCGTTGAAATCGTGTAAAACCGT